GATGAGATATTTCAAGACAAATTTGTTGCCAATATTAGATTATTAATTTATGCATTATTTCTTATAAAATCTATATAGCTTTTCACTCTACCTAAAACCTTCTGGTTCTTCTGCAAAGAATGCATTTTTCTCAAGTTTAACTAAGAGGATCATGATATAAATGTTAGCCACAATATCTGTTAGTCTATTTGGTCTATAATTTCTAGAGTAATTTTTATTCCACTTTTTAGATGGATAAAATACCGTATTTTCCGGTGTATAAGACGACTTTTTAACCCAGGAAAATCATCTCAAAAGTCGGGGGTCGTCTTATACGCCGGGTACCCGAATCTGAGTTGCTGGCGCTGACCGATGACACTTTGGGAGCGCCGGCAACATTGAGGGGAAGCTGTACTCCGAATTAGTTCCAGCCTACAAGAGGTGCCAGGCAGTGCGGGGCCCACGAGAAAGGAACGCGTCCCCACTCTACCCCGGAATTCGGGTCACCTTCCTTCCTTTCCCAGCAGTCCACGGTGAAAGCGGCGCCGCGGTCGACCTGGGCCAGCGCCTTGCACACCTGGCTCTGCGTCTCCATTATGAGAAGCTCCATGCGACTTCGCATGTCTCCGCCCCAGTCGCGCAGCTCTCGCAATCCGCTCACCGGAGGAGCCATGAAGTGCTCGCACCGCCTTGCCAGATCTTCCTCATCCTCCTTTCCCCACAGCTTTTCCCATTGTAAATGCTGCTGCTGCTACCGCCGAGGCTGCTCCTTCATCTCCGCCCACCGCACCAGACCCAGCCCGGCCAGCACCGCCGTGGCTCCCGCAGTCCAAGCGGATCGGCGCCCGGGCTCGCAGGCGAAGGGTGGGAGTGCGCAGCGATCGACGCCGATTGCTGCCACCCACCATCGCCCCAACGGGAAGAACCGCCCAGCAGCGATTCCAAGGAGCCCAAAGCGAACATCCTAGAGCAGCGCAGGCCGGCCCGGAGGCTTAAACCCCGGGAGCCCAGGTGCAAAACCCCGCACAGCAGAAAAGACATGACAGCCGGTGCCCAGTTCCTTCTGCAGCCATCCGGATCAGTGCCCGGGCTCGCAGGCGAAGGGTGGGAGTGCGCAGCGCACTTTCCTGGCTTGGCGCCGATCCGGACGGCTGCAGAAGGAACTGGGCACCGGCTGTCATGTCTTTTCTGCTGTGCGGGGTTCGTCACCTGGGCTCCTGGGGTTTAAGCCTCTGGGCCAGCCCGTGCTGCTCCAGGATGTTCGCTTCGGGCTCCTTGGAATCGCTGCTGGGTGGTTCTTCCCGTTGGGGCGATGGTGGGTGGCTGCGAGCCTGGAAGAGGTGGTGAAATGCAGAGCAATACCTCGTGGGGAAGGAGTCCGCCGTGGCTCCCGCGGTCCACTCACCATCGCCCCAACGGGAAGAACCGCCCGGCAGCGATTCCAAGGAGCCCGAAGCGAACATCCTGGAGCAGCGCAGGCCGGCCCGGAGGCTTAAACCCTGGGAGCCCAGGTGCCGAACCCCGCACAGCAGAAAAGACATGACAGCCGGTGCCCAGTTCCTTCTGCAGCCATCCGGATCAGCGCCCGGGCTCGCAGGCGAAGGGTGGGAGTGCGCAGCGCACTTTCCTGGCTTGGCGCCGATCCGGATGGCTGCAGAAGGAACTGGGCACCGGCTGTCATGTCTTTTCTGCTGTGCGGGGTTCGTCACCTGGGCTCCTGGGGTTTAAGCCTCTGGGCCAGCCCGTGCTGCTCCAGGATGTTCGCTTCGGGCTCCTTGGAATCGCTGCCGGGCGGTTCTTCCCGTTGGGGCGATGGTGAGTGGACTGCGGGAGCCACGGCGGACTCCTTCCCCACGAGGTATTGCTCTGCATTTCACCACCTCTTCCAGGCTCGCAGCCACCCACCATCGCCCCAACGGGAAGAACCACCCAGCAGCGATTCCAAGGAGCCCGAAGCGAACATCCTGGAGCAGCACGGGCTGGCCCAGAGGCTTAAACCCCAGGAGCCCAGGTGACGAACCCCGCACAGCAGAAAAGACATGACAGCCGGTGCCCAGTTCCTTCTGCAGCCGTCCGGATCAGCGCCAAGCCAGGAAAGTGCGCTGCGCACTCCCACCCTTCGCCTGCGAGCCCGGGCACTGATCCGGATGGCTGCAGAAGGAACTGGGCACCGGCTGTCATGTCTTTTCTGCTGTGCGGGGTTCGGCACCTGGGCTCCCGGGGTTTAAGCCTCCGGGCCGGCCTGCGCTGCTCCAGGATGTTCGCTTTGGGCTCCTTGGAATCACTGCTGGGCAGTTCTTCCCATTGGGGCGATGGTGGGTGGCAGCGATCGGCGTCGATCGCTGCGCACTCCCACCCTTCGCCTGCGAGCCCGGGCGCCGATCCGCTTGGACTGCGGGAGCCACGGCGGTGCTGGCCGGGCTGGGTCTGGTGCGGTGGGCGGAGATGAAGGAGCAGCCTCGGCGGTAGCAGCAGCAGCAATTACAATGGGAAAAGCTGTGGGGAAAGGAGGACGAGGAAGATCTGGCAAGGTGGTGCGAGCACTTCATGGCTCCTCCGGTGAGCGGATTGCGAGAGCTGCGCGACTGGGGCGGAGACATGCGAAGTCGCATGGAGCTTCTCATAATGGAGACGCAGAGCCAGGTGTGCAAGGCGCTGGCCCAGGTTGACGCGGCGCCGCTTTCACCGTGGACCTCCTTGGAATCGCCTTGGAATGCTGGAACCAGCTGGTTGCTGAGCGGAGCTTCCCCCAGGCATCTAGGGGGATATTACCGACGCTCTGACTTCCCCAGACCGGTGGGGCTCGCCATCAGTGGGGGTCAGCTGGGGAAGTCGGAGCGTCGGTAATATCCCCCTAGATGCCTGGGAGAAGCTCCGCTCAGCAACCAGCTGGTTCCAGCATTCAGCAGCATGCAGCCTTGACTAGATCGGCACAGCTTCCTGTCAATGTTGTCGGCGCTTCCTTAGCGTCATCAGTCAGTGCCAGCAATTCAGATTCATGAAGCTGTGCGGATCTCGACAAGGCTGCATGGGTGAAGGAAAAAAACCTGGTACAAAATAGCCCTCTTGCCACTACACATAGCGTAGCCCATTACCTTTCTCTACAGTACAGCAACAATACATACAGTACAGCAACAGTACATACAGTATAGTATACAAATATAACAGTCAAGACCCCATCATGGCTCCACCAGCAAGAAGAAAGAAATATGAAGCCAGTTTTAAACTTAAAGTTGTAAACTTTGCCATGGAACACAATAACTGTGCTGCTGGAAGACAATATGGAGTAACAGAAAAGATGGTTCGGGACTGGAAAGCAAATGTAAAAGCATTAAAGAGTATGCCAAGGGGTAAGTGTGCATTAAGAAGAGGCACCCCACATTGGCCAGAACTCGAAAAACATGTAGCAGACATGGTGAATGAGCATCGCCAAAACGGTTATGTAGTTACACGAAATAAAATACGTTTGTTTGCACTTCAGTGGGCCAAATCTAACCCAGATCACAGCAACAGATTTAAGGCCACTGTATCCTGGTGTACTAGATTCTTGGAAAGGCATAATTTGGTTCTGAGGCAAAAGACAAAAATTGCACAAAAATTACCTGCAGATCTTGATGCCAAAGTAAATAGTTTCCATCGATATGTAATAAAACAGCGCAAGAAACATGGCTATGCGTTAAGTAGTATCGGAAATATGGATGAAACTCCAATGAATTTTGATATGATTGGAAATAAAACTGTCCATCCAAAAGGTGAAAAAACAATTTTAATTAAAACAACAGGACATGAGAAGTCCAGTTTTACAGTGGTACTAGCATGCACAGCTGATGGCTCCAAACTGAGACCAATGATTATTTTTAAAAGAAAAACAATGCCAAAACTCAAGTTCCCTGTTGGTTGTTTTGTACATGTGAATGAAAAAGGCTGGATGGATGAAGAAGGGGTAAAGCTATGACTTGATAATGTATGGAGCAGGCGACCAGGTGGACTTATTCAAAAACGTAGTCTACTGGTGTGGGATATGTTCAGGGCTCATTTAACTCCCAGCACCAAGCAAAGGCTTGCAAGAATAAACACAGATGCGGCAGTTATTCCTGCAGGATTGACATCGTTGGTACAGCCACTGGATGTGTGCCTAAACAAGCCATTTAAAGATCGCATTCGAGAACAGTGGAATGAGTGGATGGTTAGTGGTGAAAAGTCATTCACAAAAGGAGGAAACATGCGTGCTCCACAGTTGGATGTTTTGTGCAAGTTTGTCATAAAAGCCTGGAATGATATTGATGCAGAAACAGTAATCAAGTCTTTCAAGAAGTGTGGCATATCAAATTCATTAGATGGTATGGAGGACGACTACTTGTGGCAAGATGAAGAAGAAGCCGAAGCTGAGACCACACCATCTGATACGGAATTAGATCCATATGATGACTGCCTTACAAATGTATCACAAGATGTCATTGATGTACTTATGATATCAGATGACGAACAGGAGGATTTTGAAGGCTTTTAAAGGGAAACTGTCACGCCAGCAAAACCTGTAAAAATAGCTTGCAGTTATGATGGGCGTTGCTGACTCGCCAGGGACTTGCCCGGCACTGGCTCTCTATTGTTTGTTATCTTCCTCCTATCATCATCAGTTCCAGTTTGGTTGACAGCTTAGAAAACAAACAGCATGGCAGCTCCCATGGGTTTATTGTCTTATCCTTCCTTTCAGCTTTAGAGGGAATTAGGAAAAGTTTAATCCAATTGCACTGTTTTATGTTGACATGTTTGATGACAGCCTTATGTTTATAAGTGACAGTTTTCCTGCTAAGTACCTGCATGTCATAAGCATTTGAATTAAAATTACCATATTGAAATCAAATCTGATATTTTTTAATTTTTATTTGGTGTGCGTTGGAAGAGGGGTAGTCTTATACGGCGAGTATAGTCCAAACCCTATATTTTAACAGGAAAAGTAGGGGGTTGTCTTATACACCCAGTCGTCTTATACGCCGGAAAATACAGTAAGTTGTGATACAGAAATATGTTTTTTTATTCTTATTCTTTTTTATTTAATTTGTTTCTTGTGCTCCATTTTTATATACAGTGTCGTTAACACTGTGCTTAATATTCTGTTTCTTGATATGGCATAATTGCTAATCAAGAATATTTAATTTGTTCATCAATACCAAGTTGAATTTATTAAAAAATAAAGTTTTGGACTTTATCCGACCCCCAATATAACACAACTTTCTTCCTTGCTTTTTCAGATCAGTAATAACCTTGTTTCAGAGGCTCTGAGTGATAAAAGGAAATTCCCCCTTTTCCATCAGATGCTCCCCAAAGAAGGATTCCACTACCCAGCAATTGTCCAGCTGCTCCTCCGTTTCAGATGGATCCTGATTGGCCTCTTTGCTTCAGACACAGAGAAGGGAGAGAATTTCATGAGGATTTTCCCTCCTATGCTTGTCAGGAGTGGAATTTGTGTGGTTATATCACAACTGTTCTCAACAACTGGATACACAACAGCCCTCAGGGATTCCCTCTCTAAGTGGAGACAAGTCAACGTCTTTGTTCACTTCATAGAAAATGTTCCCATTAAGGACAGAATTCTTCCTTTCCATTTAACACTTATGCGTCTGCCAGGACCCATTGAAGGGAAAGTCTGGATCTATACAGCTTTGGGAAGATTAACATTGGAAAAGCACAGACTTTACAAATACATCCATAGTATTTGGGTCTTTGATTATCTGCCAAAAGAAAGGCCAATGGATGATGCCTTTGAATACAATTTCTTTGTGGAAGAAAAGTTTCAAGATTATTATTTTCTCTGTTCTGTTTCAAAGAACGTCTTTTCTGTCAAAGGCCGCAGAAGATGCACCCAGAAAGCCCCACTGGAGACCCAAGAGAAAAGGAATAGAAGAGAGATCCCAAATGATTACCTTTTCTACAGTATGATTCAGACTCTGGCCCAGGCCTTGAACGCTGCCTATTCCTCCAGATGGAGGAGGGGAAGGAAGGAGGGCGAAGGGAGGTTGGGGGCTCCAAGGCTGCAGCCGTGGCAGGTATGGGGGTTCCAATATTTGGGATATGAAGAATTGCTTCTAAAATAATGTTTCATTACAGCTTCCACTTCTGCGTAATAAATAAAGAAAATAAGGAACTAGAAAGTTAAGGAACTTTTTGAAAAACTAGTGAAAATGGTATTGTTCTTAGAGTGAGCAAAGTGGTTCAGAAAAGTCTAGAAAGAAAAGGGGGGAGGGATTTCTGAGCAAGAGCTTAATGGACACATTTCAAAATATAACCAATTTATGCAAAAGAGCAATGGAAAGTTAGTGATGCAGAATCACACCAGGCCATGGAGACAGGGGGTTGCTGGGGAAAATAAGGCCATATTGTTGAACAGGAGCTCCGGATAGGCCGAGAGCTTGCTAGTCCTTCAGCCAATAGAGAAGCAGGACAGGGTTGAGTGATGGGAGGAAGGGCATAAAACCTCTTGCATGCTTTGATCCGGGTCCACCTGGTGGATTTGAATAGAATAGAATTTTTTATTGGCCAAGTGTGATTGGACACACAAGGAATTTGTCTTGGTGCATATGCTCTCAGTGTACATAAAAGGAAAATATACGTTCATCAAGAATCATAAGGTCGGGCTTCCGGTTTGGCTTCCGTTGTCGCTAGACAGTCTTTTGGGACCGCCACCCCCACTGCCCGTAAAGAGCCGCCTTTACAGCTGGGAGGCGGCTCGAAAAACTTCGTTTCCTTAAGGAAATGTGAGGTGAGCTGGCGAGAGCAGGTAGAGCCCTCTGCGAAGTCCCCAGAGTTTTTTTTTTACTCTTGGGGAGGAAGCAGGATGTGGCTCCCTATCCAGCTCGCCGCTGCTCCGGGCTTTGGGAGAACTCTGTGCTTTGCAGAGCTAGATGATGTGACCAACCTAATCAGCGAAAACTAACAGATTGCTTGAATAAGCAGGATGAAATCCGGATTTGGGACTCTAAATCACAAGTATTTGTAACAACCCTATGATTGATTTTGAATGAAGAGAGAATGAAAAAGGGGAAAAAAAGCTTTAAAATGGTGGCTGGCTGAGGCTTGAGAAGAAAGCTGAAAGCAAAAGTCTTTCCGTTTGAATGGCTTAATATGTTACAAAGTATTTGAAACAATAGCGCTGGCTACAAGAGAAGAGAAAAATTTCTGTTTCATGCTTCTTCCTTCTTAGAGACTTGATATTGATATTGTGTGGAGAGAAGACCTTTTCTTTTTTTAAAAAGAGTCTGTCTGCGTGGCAGGATGGCGTTAAAACGGACAAAGCCAGACAACCAAGCTGTGGGGGGGGGGGCCTCCCCAATTATAAATCACAAGAGCAATTTTTGAGCTTTCAGATGCAGAATAATGGTTTCAAGGATTTAAAGGAATTTGTTGTGGAGGAGTTGGCAAGACATGATGAGATTATGAACCAGAATCTTGAAAAATTTAGACAGGAAATTAAAGAGTTGGTTCAACAAAAGTATGATAACCTGAAGCGCTATATTGTAACAGCTTTGAAAAGTTTTTCAGAAGTAATTATAAAGATGGATAAAGATATCAATTTAGAAATAGAGTCTAAAATGAAGGAAGCTGATTATAAGATTCATAATCTGGATAATAAAATACAAAGAATTGAAAATGATTTGACAATGATTCAAGAAAATAGCTCAGAAGTAGAGTCTAAAATGAAGGAAGCTGATCACAAGATTTACAATGTAGATAATATAAAGCAAAGGATTGAAGATGAAGTTACAATGATGCAATTCAGATCCATGGAATTTGCAATCAGAATAAGGGGAATACAGGAAAATAACAGAGAAGACTTGAGAAAAATGTCTGCTGAAGTTCTGGCTGTGATTTTAAAGGTCAGCTCTGAAGAAATATTCTGTAAGATTGATAAGGCCTACAGAGTAAATTCTTGGGTGGCAAAGCAAAGACAATTGCCTAGAGATGTGGTGATTTATTTTACTGATAAAGGAATAAGAAATGATATTGTGCGAAAGTCTTTTAACTCCACTCTAGAAATGAATGGAATGAAGATCTGGATATATAAAGAGCTGCCGTCCAAGATGTTAAAAGATAGAAAGGACTTTGGATTTTTGGCGACTGAGCTAAAGAAACAAAACATCCCATTTAGGTGGGATGCTCCAGTTGGTATAATATTGAGACATCAAGGAGAAAGATATCAATTAAACACTGTTGAAAAAGCGGAAGAATTTTACTACAAGGTTTTTAAAATGGGCCCAACATCTCTACGTATGTCATCAGTGTCAGGAATTCAGGAGGGGGATAAAGAAAAGCAAAATGAACAAGAGATTGAAACTCAGGCTAAGCAGATGGAGATGGAGGTAATGGAAAAACGACAAGTTTTAGAGGGCTTTTTGGATGAGCCGCTCTTGGATTCTCCTTCAGAGGCTATAGCTGGATCACCTATAAATACAAGAGGGGTGGCTTTGGATCTCGATTTGATGTCTTATCAAGTTAAAGACCAGCATGTAATTCAATCAGCTGATATACAAGTCCTAGAAAGGCAACCAGGGTGGAAATCTAAACCACAACAAGTTAAGAAAAGAAGAAGCAGGTTCTACAAAACTAAAAATTTTTAAACTACAATTCTTTTTTAGCCAACAGATTAATGCCAGTTATTTAAGAGACGATTAAATATAATAAGCGGGATTTATAGAAGGCTGATACATGAAAATATAGCTGAGGCAAATTACAGACTTATACTATTTTGAGAAGAATAACAGATCTCTGCAGTGCTGGTGTTTTTGGGATGTGGAAGATGGCCTGTGATTGAGCGGATTGGAATTTTCTATTTTGGACTCTCTGAAAAATGGATTACGTATATGTTGAGCTATAAGGCAAGAGAACTATGGAATTGGGGCATGCAGATGATCTGGCTGTTACCCTAACGTGGTTGTTGGAATTAATAATCTAGACAAAAGACATTACAGAAGATACCATATGAATATAAATATAAAGTCACTCGGGGGGTTTCTTTTATATACAGAAATACTTATTAATGATGGGGGCAGATGGTAATTGAAGATACTGAATATCCTGTTGGAAGTAGGACTTGATATTACCCTAACATGGTCGATGGAATTAACAATCTAGCTGTTGTAGCACGGAAATAATGAGAGGCACAAGCAGGCTAGTAACAACAGCTCTTTAATTCAGGGTGAGACTTCAGCAAAGGAACACAGGCAACAGCCCTCTTTATATACTTTTCAGGGGCAACCAAGAACCAATCAGAATTCACTGTACATTTGAATTTCCCGCACAAAATAGATATATACATACCACCCCTCCCTTCCCAGAAGGCACTTATTCTATCTATTTACATATTTACATACAAAATCACGCAGGTGACCAGGGCGTGTCTTAATCCTGGTTGACCTGCTCAGTTCAGTTGTTGCCGAGGTGTCGAGCCGGTCGGAGGGACCTCCCGTCTCTCCCGTCTCCGCCAATGGAACCTCCTGGATTTCTCCAGAGGTGTGGCTATCTCCGGCTGGGAGTGTCGGCTCGCTGGGCAAAAGGAAAAAACCCTTTTTAAAAATAAAATGGCTGCTAAACAACTAAAGCCACCAACTTCTAAAGGGGGAGGAGGTTCCCCTGTAGTGATTCCAAAACAACAACTTCCGGCTGATATACAGTCACAAGACCTTAAAGAATTTATAATGGGTGCCCTGAACAATCAGACAGAAATGATGAAAGAATTCTCAGAGGAGTTAAAGAAAATTAAAAGTGTGGTGGAGGAAAAACATGATGAAATAAGAGATGACATTATTTTTGCAGTTTCAGGACTGGCTACTCATATGTTAAAGATTGAGGAGAGAGTACGGGAAATTGATGATGCTAACCTGGAGCTGGCAACTAAAGTAGGAGAGGTTATGATACAAACAGAGAAAGTGGATGATGAAATGGTTATGTTACAATACAGATCAATGGAATTTGCCCTGAGGCTGAGAGGTTTGAAAGAAAAGAGTGGTGAAAATTTAAAAGATGTTTGTTCTAATGCTTTAGCAGAGCTGATCTTAGAAAGGCCAGGAGATGTGGCAATTCAAATGGACAAAATTTACAGGGTCAATTCCTGGCTGGCAAAACAAAAGCAGCTACCAAGAGATGTGGTGATTTATTTCACAACAAGGAGAGTTAGAAATGACATTCTGCAAGCTTCCTACAGAAACAAGATTAAAGTGGATGGACAAGAGCTGATGGTCTTGAAAGAGCTTCCTCCTAAAATGTTAAGAGACAGAAAGCAGTTTGGTTTTTTGGTGAGTGAACTAAAAAACCAGCAGCTTCAGTACAGATGGGATGTCCCATTTGGGATAATAGTGACATACGCTGGGCAAAGACATCGCTTAAATACAGTTGGAAAGGCAAAAGATTTTTATGCTAATGTTTTAAAGGCTGGAAGGCCACCCTCACCAGGGGGTGCCAGAAAGCAATTGGAAATGATACAACAAGAGAAAGATGGAGGGCAACCACAAACTTATGCTCAAGCATTAGCTGGAGGAGCCAATTTGGAAGAAGATCTGAGTGGGGGTCCACCACCAACCCTTGAGCCATTAACGATGATACAGCTACCAAAAGATCAACGATTGACAAGAGCTACTTATAAACAACATCTGGCACAACAGCCTCAAGATCCAATCCAACAAGTCCAAAAAACACAAGCAGTGGGAGGAGCTAGGCCGAAGTCTAAAAGGGTGGAGGAGGTTCAGCTGATGCTCTCAAAGCTTGGAGCGCCCAGAGATGGCAAATAGATTTTTATCTTGGAATGTCAACGGTTTAAATTCTCCACAAAAAAGAAAGAAAATATTTCACTACTTGAAGCAATTTCAGAACGATGTTATTTGTTTGCAAGAAACGCATATAAAATCCTCAGATCAAAAGTATTTGATAAATTCGAAATTAGGTATACATTTTGTGGCATCAGCGCCAGAAAAGAAAAATGGCCTAGTTATATATGTTAAAAGAGGCTTAGTGGCCAATTTAATTGAGGCTGACACTCAAGGTAGATATATTGCAA